GCTCGTATCGAACTCGAGGGTTAATTTTGGTTTGCGCGCGTGGATACGTGGGATCATCGCGGTATACGCTGCGGATCATGGCGAAGGAGAGGGTAAAAATATACTGCTCTTATCATGCGATCTGGTCACGGGATCCCTGCTACGTGACCGCGGCGTGGCTACCCTCAAAAAAGGCGTCCCTCAAGTCTCCCTCGCGATGCATCCCAGCCCTGGCGCCATCTGGTAGCCGCTTCTCCAATCGACCCTAGTCCGCCATTGTTTGGGCACGTACTCGGAGCATGTTTATACACCAGCTCATGTTTACAAACAAACCGGAGCGCCCCTAGCGGACGTCACCGGCGCCGCGCATGCGCCGTGGATGGTGGGCAAGAAGCCCGCCGTCGCCCATAAACAAACCATTGAATTGCGTTGTTATCGGCGTCGGTGGGAGTCCCCGTGCTCTTTTTCGCGTTGGAATTGTTGATTCTACGTCCTCCTAATAATGTCTGACTACTTGAGCGGCTTTAGCAAAACTATCGAGGCAAAACTTTGCGTGAATAATGTGACTTGCGGCGATTCATTTCACGTGGACGCCGTAGAATGGGCGCTAAAGCCTGACTCCCACGTCGAGATTCTGCTCGCTATTTTCAGTCGCGACGTCGCTCGGACGGCAAAAGCGTGGACCGTAGCTGAGATGGTGGACATCGATACTGAAAACGTCAAGTAGAATCGGGCATTACAAGTCGGTGATGGCTACTGGTAACAATGATCAACAACTTCTTGTATCTGTTTACACTTAGCCGACTTACCCCAACCAACCTTCAAAAGTGTTTTGAGGCCTGCACTTAGTTCTTATCGCAATTACCGGGTCAATGTTTGGTTTACGAGCCGCTGTTGTTTGAACGAACTGACGACAAAATGCAGCCAAGTTTGAAAGAGCAGACGACAGTTGGAACGCACGCGCAATGGAGTACGGGCAAGAAGCACCGCGTCCCGCGTCAACAAACCATTCGAATGTCACGTTGTCGGCGTCTGTGTGAGTCTGCATACTCTTTTTCGCGTTGGAGTTGTCGATTCTACGTCCTCATCGCAATGTCTTACCACTTTAATCGCCTGAGCGAAATCATCAAAGCTCGTTACGCTGCTAAACATTGCATAAATAATTTGACGTGCGGCGATGTATTTGCATGACCGCCGCAGAATGGACGTACAAAACCATGATGAGACTCTTCTAGCTATTTTCGGTCGCGACGACCCTCGTGCTGCAAAAGTGTAGAAGGTAGCGGCGATGATCGACGTCGATACTGAAAATCGGAAGCGGGAACAGAGAAAGCGTAACAAGTAGGTGATGGCCACCGGTACCAATGATCAACATCTTGTATCTACTGCTTACACCGAGCCTACTTAAGTCTTTTGAGGCCTGCAATTACTTCTTATTGCAATCACCGGGTCAAAGTTTGGTCTACAGGCCGCTTTTGTTTGAACGAGCAGACGACAAAAAGCAGACAACTTTGAAAGAGCAGACGAAAGTTCGAACGATCAGGCGGCCGTGTGAATTTGAAGACGCACTGAATCCGTGGGTGGTCCGGACAACTTGGGGGTTTTCTCTCGGTCATGTTGGAACAAAGCAAATACATCTGGCGACTAGAAATTGTGGCCCGCACACGCAATCGTAGTTCGACAGCGTCAGGTTTGCCCTTTTCACGGCTGCTATCGACGTTCTCGGACGAACGGAGGGTGCAAAAACACATAAAAACTGATCTTCAAACCTTCCTAGACTCTCTTTGTAAAGCCCCCATCGCAGTATTTTGACGAGAAGGCAGGTTTTTTGTCTCGTTTCTTCCAAAGGAACACAGGAATGCATGTCTGGCACGGCGACTTCTGCCCACCGCCCCAGACCGGAAGTGCGTCCGGCGCGCCACCACCGCGGCGTGACGTAGGAGAGTTGAGTTGGTGTATAGAAACGAGGGTAGCGTCAGCGTTCGGTGAGGACTAGGATCCAATGACACGCTTCGTGGCTGAGAAATGGCGACTGCCAATGTCGCTTGATGGGACTTTTCAAAAGGGTCTCTTGAACGCTACTCAATGGTCTTTGTTGTTTTTTGTAGCGGCCAGCACGTATTGCTCAAAATTGGTGTTTTCTTATGTATGCTCTAAAGATCGGGCACTAAGTTCAAATAATAGAAAAGCTGCAGAAATAGTTCGAAATTTCCCAGGCTTTATTTACTTTCAAACTAGTAAAATGCATCCATTTTACTCGTACTTGTGGCTGGTAGTATGTATGACGGCTAAATTTGTCGGTTTGTTTCGTCGACGAAGAAAACTTGCCCTGCATGTGGTATTTATATTCAGTCCGACTACAGAAATATTATTGACCTGCCACATTCAAGCCCACAATTTCTATTAAAATATTTTTAAATGGATTTGAATGAAGAAGACTATGATCTAATAATGAACGTACCTTTTAGAGGGAATATGCCGTTTTACCACATTTCCTAATTTAAATGTTACTGTTAGAATCATAAAAGCGAAACACTCAGCTCAATAGTATTCTAGTAAGCAGCTTGAATGAAGAGGGCCAATTTTAAAGCGGCTATTACGCGCCTCTACAATTTTTTCAAAACTCAACTGCCGGTAGTGGGTCATCTAACAAACAACAAGAAAAGTTATGGTAGCTACTATAATGCCCCGAAACAATAGGATACAAACGCCCGTTGTTTCCTTACCTCCTTCCTGCGCTTCTCGGAGTATTCGATAGAATGCTAAATACATGTCTGCCTCCAGCAGTAGTTCCTAGAAACTCTATCCGACTATGTTACAAGGATCTATTTGACGATCCAGGGCCGTCCTGCCTGACAGGTCTTTGCTTACTTTCGCGCGTTGACACACCTCAGCTCGGAGCATACGGAGTAAAGGGTCGCCCTGCAGGATGTTAGGATACCGCGTTAAATCACTACCCTTGCCGTTTAGATTTGGATCCGCATCGTACAGGCGTGTCGTCGGGCATCACTACTGCGCAATGCACGTTAAATGCCAAAGGCTAGCATTGGTATCGCACTGGTTAAAGTTTTTATCTTCATCGGAGATACCAGGCGCCTACTCGGGCTAATTCCCCGCTAAAACATATGCACAACACAATATCGGCCAACTTTCTTCAAGTTGCCACTCAGTGTAATCGCATTATTTTACTTCGACTACCGATAATATAACTCTCGGATCTCTTTATGGGCGTAGCACGAACGACGCCGACAGCGTTACTTAAGGTGAAGGCCTGGAACCGAGAAGCTAGGTATCAGAGTTTATAACGGGCACTCTGGCTATCAGGGCTGTAGCGACTTTTTCTGCACTGAGTACTTTCCCACGCGGTCCCACCTGTGATAAGCAGTCTTCCCGCCACTTCACCGTACAAGATATAATGTAGTCAGTAGACTTTGACTCCTGCTCTTACATCTTTTCTATTGATCTTTCACTCCCATCTCCACCATGTCCTACCCCGAAAAAATAGTTAGCACGACGCCCAGCAGAGTGAGCCTACAGGACTATCTCTTCCTTCCACAGATACATACACACACATAGAAGCACGCACACACGCACGCACATACACTCTTTCTCTTTATATTTCTCTCTCTCTCTTTCTGTTTTTTTTTTCTTTCTCTCTCTTTGACTTACGCTTGGCCTTGCGTTGTTTTGTATATAAACTTGACAAGATGCTGCGCGACTCGAGACCGGTCACCGCTGTTTTAAAGACCGAGCTCGGAAAAGTGCGAAGCGGTCGAACTTCCTATAAACTAATTTCCGTCCACCGCCAAAACCTCTAGTTTTATGAAGAAAATGAAGCTGGGGAGCGAATTAACTCCAAGGTCCTGGACAAAAATGTCCTGTCTGTCCATAGTACATGTTTGATTTTGCTGGTTGGATTTGACAGGATTTGACAAGATTTTACTTTTGATTCCGGATTCTTTTACATCCAAAGAGTTGCAGGCCGACGTTACGGTGGTTAACACGGAAATCTGCCTGCAGGTTACTCGTTCTGTTGTCTTTTGTTGTCCATTTTCTTTCCATTCATTGGCTCGTTTTACCGACTGCAGGCCTCCAGTAGCCAAATTCCACTCTACAGGTTGCGGCAGATCGTGGCCACGACCGCAAGGCTGCAAAGAATAAAAGGAAAGAAACGTAACTTCACTTAATCCTACGAATAAAGTCGGGAGACACAAAAGGGCGTAGCGGAAGGACGCAAATATATATTTCCCTACCTATAATTAATTGTCATTTTTAGTTCACGATCGGCGGAACTTGCTAACTTTTGTTAAATATCATGGGACTTAGGCCAGCTAAAGGTAGCGGCTTTGTAACGGTTTTCCGTAATGCCATTTCGTGACATGACTCTTATCTAAAGGAAGCCAGACCTACGGACTAGATGATCCAACTGTCCAGCTCCGACCGGATAAGTTTAGAACTAAAAGAACGACAACGACGCATAATATGTGTTTATCTTTATGACGTAGCGCTCGTCTGATGGAGCCGAACTCTGGTTCAGCGTTCAGCGCTTCGGCTGCGACTCGCGTTCAGTCAGTGAAGCAAGGGTCGGCCAGCCGAACGCGGACGCAGCACTCGTGTTCAACCTTTGCCCCGCGCTTCATCGAAGTAGGTGAAGTAAAGCTTGCACTCGAAAGGCCTTGTACTGGGTAAAAAGCGAGATCTGTGAAAAACAAGCTGGACAAAGAGGAGTTGCCTGCACGTTACGTTATCGCATCCTGCTGGTGAGTCTTGTTCTTGCGGAGGTGAATAAATTTGATGGCGCAAAATCTTTGTTACAAAATGTACGCGCTCAGCAGCAAGGCCACCACAATGGGCGCTGATGTGGCGTCAGTACATACCACGTATAAATCGAGTGCTTCACCACTAAAAAAAAAGAAGCATTAATTGGCAGGAGATCGTGCTGACACCAGATTTAGACCGCAGGAAAATAGGCTTTGAGGAATTCTTCGAAGGAGAAACAAACCGCTGCGCTTCTTCCGCAGTCGGCACCGTACACGGCGGGAGCCAATCTGGCGCGACCCACGACCACGGTCCGGGAGGCCATGGCCATACCCATGAGGCCATGGACGGCCCCGGTAGCTTCAGGCAGAGGGAGGCGTTTCGGACCAGGGACGACTTCGGAAAGCGGGCCTTCACCGTCGGCGTGGGTGGACCCGTCGGCTCGGGAAAGACGGCGCTCGTGCTGGCGCTCTGCCAGAAGCTCCGGGACACGCACAACCTCTGCGTAGTCACCAACGACATCTTCACCAGGTGATAAACTCTAACGTAGCCTGGGGAGGCTATTAATAATAACCTCACTTCCTGGGCCTGAACATATGATCCCGCATAAAACTGGCAAGACATGGAGCGGAGGGCGATGACGCTTTTGTTGTGGGGCAACCTCAACCTGTCTATTGCGTTCCCAATTTAGTTGCACTTCGGTAGATACGGCGTACTAATTAACGTGCTTGTGTAGGAGTATGTCGCGTGTCGGTGATACGGAGGTGTCGCAGGTTTATTTTTATAAAGCCCAAAAAGTTCAGTCAAATACTTTACTAGGAAATACATCTTGCGCCGAGAAATCTAATGAACTTGGAGCCGACAGTTTTTGCGTGGTTTGAACGGCTGGACGCGCACAGCCTCGGGGTTTTCTTTAAATTAAGAGGGGTGGCTGCTTCCATCCACCGTCGTGGACAGCCTTGATGACAGCGGAGATGACCGTTTGTTTCTGCTTTACTGGCAAATCCGGTATTTCGGTGCGACGAAGGGTGACTGAAGTGGTCCTTAAACTTCTGTTTTGATTGCCTCTAACGAGCCCCAGTCCGCGGGAGTCAGTGTAAGCGTATCAAGGACACGGCGTGCTTCCGGGGACCCCATTGCGTAGAGAAGTGTTCTTACTTGATCCCTGCCAGTTGCTCGATGAAGTCCGGAGGCGTAGCTCTAATTCTCGAATTGAAACACCCGTTGCTCCCAAGTGCTGGGATTCAAGAAGTCGGAAGTTCAGAGGAGGCGTTAGTCCTGTGGCACCGAAGGGCTGATGGAGCAGTGCCGTGATGGCGGAGGAGATAACTTTGGTATCTGTCATGATTTGACTATGGCATTAGGGTTGCGCGGCGGATGCTGTCACATCTTACTCCTGACACCATGCTGCGGGTAGCTCTGGGCTAGCCGCGCGTAACGTGGGAAGAAGCAGCCGACCACTTTGAGACCCAAAACACCGGTGACCTTTAGGTCGGCCTTACGGCAACCCACACAAACCAATGTCCCCGCACGCGCCCCTGGCCCGCGATACCCTCAGTGACACGTGATTGGTTGTCCCGCTTCACGCCGCGTGAGCACATGTAATCGTTACAGTCGCAAGGGAGATTGGGCTGAAAACCGTGAGCGCAATCTTTGAAATATTAATTTTTTTTGTCTGCAGAGAGGACTGGGAATTCCTCTGCCGGAACAAGGCTCTGCCGGAGGAACGAATGAGGGCCATCGAGACCGGGGGATGTCCTCATGCGGCCATTAGAGAGGTACCGCATGCACACATGGGATCACAAAATGCCAAGAACAATTTTGGAACGTAACCTGTGTACGGTACTTCCTTTAAAGAGAAACTTAAAGCCACCTGATGAGCTGCGCTTAGAGTATCGGTACTCTGTTCCCCGGTGTTGTTGTGTTCGCCGCCATGTTGGTGCTTTGTGCAGAGCAGACGCAATAGTGTCGATCACCACAATTAAAAAATGCGACTTCCCTCAGCTTTAGTTGCGGTGTTAGCAAGCTTATGTGATATCGTTTTGCTCTATCGCGAACTGTTTTAAAATGTCTGGAGAAGGAAAAGGCGTTTCCGGCGATCTCAGATAAAGCTTCAGGTAACTGGCCAGCATGATCTGAAGCCACATGATGGGTAAGTGTCGTTACTCTGAAGCTTAGCCTTTTTCTTCAGGGCAACTGAAGCGGTGCTATATTTGAGAAAAAAACACCTAAATGGTCTATATTTGCCCTCCAGAATCAAGAATATCGAGATTACTTTTCAGTCTGGTGCACGGAGGCTGCAGAAACTATTTTTAAAGTATCGCTGAAGCCTTTTCTTTCCTGGCGTGACGTCACACTAGGAGTTGTCGAATCTCCGCTCTCGCGCATCTTCACCGCCTGTCAAAGCTATGCACGCGCACTCTTGCTATATTCAAATAAGGTCAGAAAAAGACGTCACGACTGGCGTCAGTGCGAAAAAATATACTTGGCAAGCTTGCAACTGCACGGGCTGCCCACACGAGCGACACGCGCTTGGCAGTCCAAAAATCCTAGTATGGCGTCACGACTGGTCGGAGGTTTTTCGTGTTTTCTCGCGTTTAGTTGCATCCTCGGGAATAACGAACGTGATATTCGGATTCACGGGATAAAAATACGCCAAAATTCACCTCTAACTCGTGTTTTCTTTTTTTTTTTTTTTTTTTTTTTTTCAGGAAGTGTATAAGCTTCTTTTTAAAGGGGTATTAGCGAGTTTTAGAATAGGGGGCCCTACAGCTTTGGGTGCCCCAGACAGCTTGGGGCACCCAATGCTGTGGGGCCCCCTATTTAAAACTCGCTATTGAACCAAACATTTTATTGCCGTAATAAGTGGCGCATGACCTTTCCACGAGTCAGCAACCGCCGGTGTGCGCGAGCACACGCGACGAAATTTACGTCATAGTCCTCCATTTAAGATGACTTGAAATGTACGGGCTCCTGGAAAAGGAGAATAAAGAAATGCTTTCCGTCTTCACAAGTGAAAGCTTCCTGCTTGTTAGACCAATTAATCGCCCACCTTTTGCACTCCACTCCACTGTGGAGATGAAAGGCGTGTCTTTATTCTCCTTTTTCCCGGAGCCCACACAGGACTAGGACGTCAATTTCGTTGTGTGTGCTTGCGCACACCGGCGGCTGCTGGCTCGTGGAAAGATCATGCGCCACGTATTATGGACCCTGAAATTGTTGGTTCAGCAATCCTTTAAAAAGGTGCTTCTAGACTGCGTTTAAATATGCGGAAAGTGACATTCGCGCTGAGGAACACAGTATTTTCCAAAGTCAACTGATCTTGTTTGCAAAACTTCATGACGATCTAGTACTGAAAAACAGCACTAAGAACACTTTTGTACTAATGGAAGCAACATGTTTGTCGTTCCTTTAACGCAGGACTACTCTGCCAACATGGAGGCCGTCCGGGAGCTGACAAAGAAGTTCTCGCCCGAGATCCTGCTCCTGGAGAGCGGCGGTGACAACCTGGCGGCCAACTTCAGTCGCGAGCTGTCCGACTTCATAATTTACGTGATCGACGTGGCAGGTGGCGACAAGATCCCGCGCAAGGGCGGCCCGGGCATCACGCAGAGTGACCTGCTGGTAATCAACAAGACGGACCTCGCCGGAGCCGTGGGAGCGGACATGGACGTCATGGTGCGGGACGCGGCCAAGATGCGCCAGGGGGGGCCGACGCTCCTGGTGCAGGCCACGCACGACGTGGGCGTCGACCAGGTGGCCAGGCTCGTGCTGCAGGCCGCCAAGGACGCAGGCGTGCCGCTCAAGTGTCGGGCGGCCGAGTCGTGCTGATGCTGACAACAGAGCGCTCTTTTTGTCCACGGCTTCCAGCCACCGCTTGTCTACGGCTTCCTCTCTGCCTGGAGCACGAAGGCTATTTTGTGTTCAGACCAGACTTTTATGCAATGGACCTTTTTCAACAATATCTGTTCGAGAATAAACGAATATGGTACCCTCCCTCTTTTGGTTCTAGCCGTGCAGAGAGGGAAGATGGTTCTGGGGGCCGAAGAACCCACCATGGGGACAAAGGCGAAGTTTGGGGGAGCCGTATTTAGGTCACATCGGCTCAATGGGAAAGCAGGATGTAGCCTCCGTTTTGTGTGCCGAACGACCTTGAACCCAGTCGCGTATGTAGCTGGCAGTAGATAATGGGAAAAAGGTAGAAACTCTGCTCCAGTTACTGTAGTTTAACTGTTTTTTTAAGTAATTTGGTAGCTTTCAATTTCATTTTAATTTCGGTAATTAGCAGTTTACTTTAACTACCTTTTCCGAATAATTTCTATTCACGTCAAATTACTTTCAAAATTTAGTATGTTTTTTTATTATCAACAAATATTTACGCAAACACAAGGAAAAAAACGAAACAAGAGAGAGAGAGCTATTGTTTGAAGGCCTGAACGACAGTTTGAGCCGGACACGTAACGCAAAGGTGCGTCTGCAAGTGTGTTTCAAGTGGAACGGTGTAACTACAAAATTTTCCCGGAGAATGACGTTTCTTTTTTGTTTTCTTTTGGGTACCTAGGTTTTTGGGGACAAGGAGTGAGCGCATTTGTAAAAAGGGCTTGCCCCTTCTTGGTAGACATCTCTCGCCAATACGTGGTTTTAACTGACACCACTGTCGGGGCTTATGGAATATGTCGCTGCCATGACCTGTTACTAGAGAGTTTTAGTAGACCGTTTTCGGTTTCCCGCTCCGCTCTATGGAAAGCGGAGTCGCCATCGCGCATGCGCGACCCGCTCTGGGATTTGAGCGTGGAGCGTCAGCTCCGCTATCGTCGCCATTTTGAGAAGTACGTTCCACTCTCAGTAAAGGTTCACTAGATGGTGCTTATCTGGAAAGGTGGGTGCTCGCTATTTGAAATCATGCTTGGGAGCGCGCTTGACCGTTATGAACCTCGCTGCACTAAGAAGCTGCGCAGACTTTGTTTGAAAAGGCGTCCCCCAGAAAACGTTTTACGGTAGTCAACCTCTGGCTGCTTCGAGAAATCGCTGGCCGCAATCCTTTCACGGCCTCTGAACGGTGGGAACAGGTGCTGCCTTGTCTAAGCCAGCGGGCTCGATTTTTCTATGCGAGATGACGACGACGACGTTGAGAGGATGACACACCGGGCGACGGCGGTGTCTCAATCTGAGCCTCGGTTCCTCGGAGGCGGCAGCTTCTACTTCATCTGGACTACCTCCTTGGAGCATGATTCTTTGACCCCAGTGGACCCCAGTGAGCAATAGCGCCATTATGTTCCTGGTGCTCCTTCATGCACTGATCGAACGGCGTGCAAGATCCTCATAGCTCGCTGCTCACCCGCCCAACCCGCCTCCACGAAGTCTGGACTTCAGCGAATCGGACTGCCACCCTCCCCAATACCAACAACCCATGTCGTCGTCATCTTGCACGTATATACTCATCACATTACCATGTTCCCTAGACGCGGCACCGCGGGCCTCGGTGGTACGGGCTGCTGCTTTCCGCGGTGCCGCGGCTCTCCAGAGCCAAAAATTAAAGGTTAAAGACCAAAGACTAAAGCAGTTGGCAAACGGAGATATTTTGTTTGGTTACTTCAGGCAGCAAGACAGTGAAAATTAGCGAAAGCGAGTACTCCATTTATATCTCTACTTTTTTTCCCCAATGAAATGAGTCTTTTCTTCTTCGTATGCTTCGGTTTGTGATATGGTGCCTTGGTGTTTATGTACACTGCGCGACACTGTTAGCGGGAGCATTCAATATCCTGTTTTAATTTTTCACCTTAAATTCGAGGGGCTGACATTTGCCTATTGGTGTGGAATAAAGCGCTCGTTTGGGGCACTAATCTGAGCGACAAATTTTCAGCTTTTTCAATAGCTGTCAAAGAAATAAACTGCAAATAAAAGCGATTTTTTTCATGTTCGTATTAACAGTGGAGCGCAGTGTATGTATCTGCCTTGGGGGGTGACATGAAACCATTTTGCTTGACTATACACTTCTTTTTATTTCTTTTGTGTGTTTATGAAAGTGCGTTTTTCAGCTCAAGCTCCTGCCCAGTTTCTGCCTCACTTGTGCTACGGTCTTTTCTTGCAATAGAAGGCCACGCAACATAGTCTACTCTTGCAATGCTGAATCCAACAGTAACACTGTAATTTGGTTAGATGCAATATTCACTCGCGCATCTGAGAAATAAAATGGGAGTCGTTAGTAAACGTTTTTTATTAAAATATTTCTAGATGCCTTTCAGCCCAGTTGGACAGATATTTCGCTCAGTACAAAAGCTTGAACATGACTTACTGTGATAATTTTATGCATTCTAATATTAAACAAACAAAAAAAATGCCCATGGTTTTTGTAGGTTTCGTCCAGCCGTCAAATTATGCTGTCTGCGCACATCACTGCCTGGTGCTTCACGACGAGCACACTCTTGAGGTCTTCTTCTCATTTTTTTGATGGACGGCATATGGGCATGCTGTGCGGTCAACAAAACCCCAACAGTTGTTCAGGGGTCTTCCCTTGTCCTTGACGGCCTAATAAAAAAGACAAAGAAAAACACTCTTACAACGCGGCAGTATTTAAACACTACCAAAACATGTGACATGGGATTTGTTACTCCTCTAAGATAAAGCGTATTTCCATTGTAGGGTTGTAAAAAAACTGGGTATCGTAAATTAATATATATATATATATATATATATATATATATATATATATATATATATATATATATATATATATATATAGTTGTTCCTTAATTCTGCTAAGGTTTGAGGCCGTCAAACTGGGCATGCGAGGACCGCCACGCCGGAATTCAAAACAAAACTTCTGAAAACTGTTCTAATCTACCACTATTGCTTAGAAGTCCAGGGTTGTGTTTGCTAAATTATGCATTGTTTATGCCTGTCTGGTTTTCACCAGACAAAAAATTGACGTGGAATATTCTTTCGACCGTTACTGGTAACTCTTTTCAAAACACCACCGGGTAACATATTCGGCCGCCATATTTTGGGCATCGCTTTTAGTGCGAGACTTGTGACTAGAACCCATTTCATATTCAGTATTGACGCAGCATTCGTGTCTAAAACATTTAGACTCGCATCCGCGACAAACAATGACGTAGCTCTCTTGCTCCCTAGACACTTGGCGAAAATAAGGCGGCCTCGAAGACTAGCGGCACCATGGGTTGCACTTTTAAAAAGGCTGCATTCAAGTTTCTATTATTTTCTAAATCTACGAAGGAAATCCAATGCAAACATTTCTTGAAGAAAGTTAAACAATTCAAAAGTTGCGAGCGAGTGTGAATAAATAAAGCTGAGAGGAATGGTTTCTTTGGTGCAGATTGCGAGCGCTATGCTCGTGGTCAGCTTTCAGTGGCATTTTCGACAGGAGGGCGCATGCACAGATATAATCGGCGTTCAAGCACGCGCACCCGTACATCTGACTGCATAGCCATAGGACGTCCACAAAACGCGACGACTTTACCGACGCCGTGCTGGTTGCAAAGTGATACTCGTTCACTTCGTTTGATTATGCTGTTTTGTGTTACATAGAACTCAAATCGAATGGTTTACTTTTTACGCGCGGGGCGTACGCTTTACTTCTTGATTCGACCTCTTTCAGGCTGAGGTCACGGTCAAAAACATCGACGCGTATTGAGTAAGTGCAGCCATCTTGAAATCTAAGCGATCACGCTAAGCACGCTGAGGGCAGTCCGCTCTGCAACTTGTGAGGCGGAGCGCACGCTCACTCCGCTAACTATACGCTCCAACTCAGAGCGGGCCACGCATGCGCGGTGGGGACGATGCTTCTCGTAGAGCGTAAAGTAGAGCAAAGAGGGCTCATAAAAGTGGACTACTAATACTCACAGATCCGTCGTGACTTCTCCTGACACTGCCCGTGTACACCTTTGGCGTATAGAAAAAAGTAACTTTTCACCAGACAGAGCAGCTGTGCTAGAAACAATGGAAACGCGAAATTTACACAAACCATGCAGGGTCTCACCTGTGAGCACAGCTCCAGTTTCGCCAGGGTCAACCACCTATGTTTGTTCATGTCAGCGAGCAGGTGGCCGAACCTCTCGTTGATGCGACCCACGATGAGGTTCACAGAACTGAAGAACACCGACAAGTTCCTTCCAAACGCTCATCCAAGTACGAACAGACGGTTGGGATAGGCCAGTCGAGGAAGAACCACGCAAAGCGTCTCGCCAGATTGGCAACACCCTGCGCCGATCTGTCGGGTGCTGGTATTTGAAGGCCCGCATGCAGAACAGCCAGGTCCTTCTTTAGGCAGGACAGCTTCTTAAAGGGGCGGTGCAACGATATTCAATTGGAATGCTTTTCACTTTACACGAGCTTACTGGCACTAGTGGGACTCAAGGATACTCGCACACAACGCCACTGACCAAGAAACTCCTTTGTTGCGCTGTAATTTCGAGGACAAAACCGAGCGTTTTCATTCAATCTCTCCTTCGCAAAACCTGATGACGTAGCTCGGCGGTAGCAGTACCGCCCAGTGACGATATTTGAATGCGGCTCATAGATTGGACCCGAGCATTGCGTGGGCACTCGATTTGGGCTCGTGATAATCTATAGCTCGAGAAGCATTCGGACAGTGTCCTGTGTCCAATCGCTGCAATGACGACAACAGCCGAACCATAACAATGTCGGGAACGCAGCGCGTGTCCTGTGCCTTGCCAACCCCAGCGCATGGCTATGATCAGAGCCGTTTATACTGGCTATGATCAACTAGAGCCACTAAATAAGCTGCGCTTAGAGTATCGGCACTCCGTTCCCCGACATTGTTGTGGGCGCCGCCATTTTGGCTCGTATGCAGAACAGACGCAACGGCCGATCGTCATGATTCAAAAGTGCGACTTCCTCAGCATTAGATTCGGTGTTAGGAAGGTCATGTAATACATAATTAAACCACCAACTAGCCCAAGTATCCACCATTTTGAAGGTCATGTAATATTGCTTTGCTCTGTCGCGAACGGTTT